TTTTCGTCATAAAAAGATGGCGGCGCCCAGTTGACGCCGGTACCGGGCCGCGGCGCCCAGCTGATGCCGGAACCGGGCCGCGGCGTCGAAAAGGTTGGGGATCCCTGCTGTAAACCACTTAGAGAGGGCTGTAAAGTACTATAAAGTAGTATATAAGTCTAAGTGCTATTTCTATACACCTCAAATTCAGTGGAATATATTCCTTGGTAAGCCTAAATTGAATTACAATTTATTTTTATTTTTTTTCATCCAAGGTAAATCATTTGCAGAGTTCAGGACTGAGAATAAATTATTATGAAGCAATGAAGTTGCTACCAAAGGACTTGAGAAAATTCACTGTTTATAGAAGCATAAGAAAGCCTCTGTGTGAAAGGGTTACCTATATGTGGGGTAACTATAAGGGCACATATATATGGGGATAATAGCTCAAGAAGGACTGGTCAATATTAATTGCTGAGTATATTGGCAACCAAACTGAGGAAGGGAACGGAAAGATGAGCTTGTCAAATTGACAGTGAAAGGTTTCTTGATGAGAAAGGTATGATCAAAGCAGCCCTACCTCCAAATACCACTGAATAAAGGTTGCAAATTGTAGCTGAATGATAGGGAAGGAAAGTAGAGGGAATAGATATACTAAAATTAAAGAGAAACATCTGGATAAAGCACTTGCTGTGTGATTAAAAATAAACAACCATCAGGTCACCAATAATTAGAAATGGTGTGGGATAGCAAGGAGAATTGTCCATGGAAATCAATGGAGAAACCAAGGATTATAATGTAGATGGTGTTGGGCACCCCAGCATATCAGGCAGGGGTGGGATTCAGCTGGTACGGACCAGTTCAGATGAACTGGTAGTTCCGGCGATCGTTTGGCCCTGCCTGCCCACCCACCCCTGCGCTATCCTGTCCTATATTTCCTTTGTCTGAAGCCCTGCAGATTGGTGTGGCAGCGCAGATTGCTGTGCCTCAGCTCTTTTTACTCACCCGGGGCTGCAGGAAAAGGTATGTTTTCTTCCTATGTTCAAATGCGAAGCATGCGTTCACCGAACCAGTTGTTACACCAGTTGAATCCCACCACTGATATCAGGTCTGTCTGTGATGGAATCTCCAGCTAGATTGGAGGGAGGTGTTGAGAGGAGATCAATGTTAGAGATTTTGCACTGCAGGAAGCAGCACTAGTCTGACCTCCTCCAGAATCCTCGAACCCTTATCTGATCATTCCCCAGGGAATGGGGGGGGGGGTATTGTAACATTGATCACTAGCTCTAAAGCTTCTGTTGAGACTATCGACAGGTGGTTCTGGTTACTTTCACCTGAGACAATCCATCATATTCTCCCTGAGCACCAAAAACTACCTTGTCTACCTTTGGATTCTTATTTAATGGGAAATGTATTTTAAACAGCTCAACAGAAGTAAATTAAAAAAGAAATGAATTTCATTTTCTTAACAGTGCCTTTTAGAAGAAAATGATTATGGCAGCCCTGCAGGGTAGTTCAAAGTGCATGCAACATATCAGTCTCTCAACTGGTTATATTCAACTCTAGATGTCTATGCAGATTCTCAGTCATCCAGTCATGGTTGTCCCAAAGGTGCTTTTTCAAGAGGCAACTGGATTTTCTTTGCTCTTCCTTGAAGATGTTTCACTCCTCATCCAAGAGGCTTCATCAGAATGGCAGAAGCTTCTTGGATAAGAAGCTAAAAGTCTTCTGGGAAAAGCAAAGAAAGTCCAGTTGCCTCTTGAAAAAGAACCTTTGGGACATTAAATTCTATGACTTTCTAAAGATACTGTATATAAGAGTCAGTTTGGTATAGTAGTTAAGGCATCAGATTACAAACCTGAGACTCTGAGTTCTAGTCTCTCCTTAGACACAAAGAGAACTGGGTGAACCTTAGGCCATCCCCCATTCTCAGCCCTAGTAATCAAGTAATGGCAAATCAATCTTCCCAAGAAAATTGCAGAGTCTTTTCCAGGTAGCCACCAGGAGTCCACACTTAACCAGAGGCACAAATAAATAAATACATTTTCTAGACATATTTCATATCCCTTTCTCAGGTTGGAGGCCAGATTGATTTTTTTTTAATACTATCCACTTGTTTCTATTTTGATGCTGGAGGTTAGTCTTCAAAAATGAATTTCAAGATGGCAATATAGGGGGTTATTTTTTGGTTTTTGGTTTGTTTTATCCCAAATACAAAGGCACAGTGGAAAAAGAGAGAGAGAAACAGATGCAGAGAAAATAATAGTTGTACAACACAGCCCAGAGTTAATTTTGCAATCCAGCAGCAGAACTGCAGAACTGAGGCTTTGAGTCAAAAATCCATCATTCACTTCAGGTTGCATCAATCTATTTAACTGATCCCCATCATAGGAAAATGAACTATGCATCCTGTTGCAGGGTCTCCTTGTAAATGTTGAAAGGAACATTAAAAATGAAGAAATAATTCTATGTCAATTATGACCAAAAGCTAGAGGAAGTAATAAAGAGTGAAAAAAAAAATAGACAGAAAGGAAACATGCAAAGGGACACGTGTGGGATTGTCAACAGTGTCATTAACTTCAGTCTACTGGGTAGATGGGATAAAACTGCTGCAGTACTTTGGTTAACATGATTTATAAAACTGTAGTTTCAGACATGAAAAGTAGTGAAGGATGCATCTTCTTAAATTTACACTTTTAAATGTGAAGAATAATTTACGGTTGCAAACATTGGCTTTCTTTTTATCCAATGTGTTTGTTGAGCATCTCCTATTGTTTTATAGCAGCAATTTATGAAGAGACAACTTTTCAAAGGGAAAAATTGCTAAGCAGAAAAACAAAAAAATATTTCAGACAAGTCAGGCAAGTTTATTTTGTTTTTTGCTTTTTTGAGGCAAAGGGGAGACCAATTCTTTACTACAAAGCAAGCAAATCAAAGCTACTCTACCAGTGAACAGCAAGTGTGCTTAAGACTTTCTTTCTTGGAATAATTCCCAATGAATTCAGTTTGGATTATTCCCAGGTGGTGGCCATCCTCTGTTTGGAAACTTGCTATTGAAGTTGAGGAATCAACTTACTGTTTTAACTAAATATAGTCCATCTCTCACTTAAGAAAACAATTTGACACTGAAAGGAATGTTATGTGTAAATGCAATTGTTCCTCTTTCACTTCACCACAAGCATGTGCCTGATCTCATAAGGCTCACAAGTTTAGAAAATGCCTCTTCTATGTAAAGACCACTTAATCTGTTGCTTGTGCATTGATTGAGTTTATTCAATCAAGATGATTTGCCGCAAACGTTTCACCCAACTGCAATGAAGGTTACTGAAAGTCACACAACTAGTTTGGGGTGGTGGTGGTGGTTCTAAGGGCATTTGGTTTGTTAGCCATGACAGGAAACAACATGGTAGACTGCATGCATCCTGTTTCCACAAAGATGCTCTTTTGGTTATATATTGGCTGCAGTCTTCACACATTTACTTAAGAGTACATTCCATGAAATCTGGTAGGTCTTCTGAATAAGCATGCATATTATTAAGCTGCTCATCTGAATTTACTTTGAAAGTTTTTTTTTAAATTGATGTGGTTTTTCTTTTATTCCTTGCAGAAAATTTTCTTCGTGAGAGTATATGGACATTTAGCAAAACTAATTAAATTGATTCTACAGTTATCAACTTCCCTAAGACATTGTAAACATCTGGAGTCCTTGGTGCTCTCAGAGCTCAATTTGCTTGCAGACATTCCCCCCCTACATAACATCAACAGTGTTAATAATAAATAATGTTACCTAGTTGGGTGATGGAACATCTGCAGGCAAACAACCAAGCTCAGAGAGAACCAAAGACTCCCCTGTTCCACATATATTCCTTTATATTGGAATATTTTAGAGGCATATTAATGGTTTAAGTAGTACAAGTCTCAAGATTAACAGAGTTTAACCCTAGGTAAATATCTACAGTATTATAATTTCAGTGTTTCTAAATATATTTAACTTACTGATCTTTTGGTTTATTTTTGTTTACACAAGAATCCATACACAAATATAGGATACCTTTTGAAACAAAGGAATTCATATCTTGGTTTAATCTTGGTTTAATTTAAATAATCCTGGTTGAGTTCCTTCCACCAACTCCACCATCTCAGACAGGTGATCAAGAGACTGCATGCAGACCCAGGCATTCAAAGTGTCTTGCTTCCTACCACTCCTTGATCACAAAGTATTCACTTGCAATATCCAATATTTGTACCTGGCAAATCTAATTTCACCAACACTGCTTCTTGGATACTCTTATCTACATCAAAATCTTTGGTTTATTTCTTCATGTATTATTTATCTACTCTTTTCATAGGGAAAGAGAACATTCTATGCATGGGATTATAATCTTGGGCAGAATTAAGATAAGTAAATCAGTTTGGGGTGTTTTCAAATTATATATATATATAATTTGGAGGGCGAAAGTTTCCCATCCTTGTTTTCCTCAAATGGAGAGCATTCCCATGTTAACTATTGCCATACTTCCTTGAGCATACTGCAATCTGTCAGTCTTTTATTCACATAGTTTCTCTCTCTGCAGAAAAAGACTTAGCGCTTATGAAAAGCATAGCTCAGGGTTTTTGTTTTAAATTAATCTTTCTACTCTTTGAATACACTCCAGTCTTCCAGAGACACTGATAATACAACTGTACATTAGAGAAAATGCCTGATTTTGTGTGTGTGTGTGTGGCATGCAATTGTTTCTTGTTAATACTTTCCCCTCACCAACCATCCATCTCTGTAACCCTCACAGTAGCTAACCTCATATTATAAATGTACCGAGCAGAAGGCATGCCAAGTGACATCAATTAATTTAATTAACATTGCAGGTTACAGAAACGTGACTCACAACTGGCTGATTTGTATTTTAATTGAAGCAATACGTCTCTTCCCCCGCCCCGCAAATTGCCTGAAATAAGCGGTTCCATTTCAAGCATGAAAGGAGAGCAAACGAGTTCGAGGGAAATCTAACCATCTTCAGGAGGAGTTCCCCTAACTTGAGTCGATTTTGCACAAAACGTTGCACCTACAGCAAAAAAAAAAAAAAAAAAAAAAAAATCCTCTTCGTGGCCAGGCTCACAAACCCATCTGTTCCAAACAACGACAAAACAAACAAACAAACAAACAAACCTCCACAAGATCATCAAGCGAGTCCCAAATCCAGATTCTCCTCTTGGTTTTCCTTTAAGCGAGAGGGCATTATGTACAACCTAGGCAAGATCCCACGAAGCCCAAAGTTTCGGCTAACAAACGAATCTACCTTGGTTAGGTCCCCGCGTTGCTCTGCCCAGCTCTACAATTAATCGTAGCCGACTGTTAGCCTTTCTTTGCAAACTCTCCCTTTCCACGCGTGTCATTTCCTCCCTCCCCCAATGCTTCTCTTTGAAGCTAAGCTTCTCCTTTCTACTTTAAATGCTCCGGCACTTCATCCACGCAAGACACCCCTCCTCTCCTCCCCCCTCCCAAAAAAAAACAAAACCGAGGGAATCCGAAGACATCGCCCCGTAAATGACTTTGTTCTGCTCTTAGTTACCGGCAAAGAAGGGAAAGAGGAAGAGAGATCCCGTCCCTAAAGGTGCTCGTACCCCAAGAAACGCGGTTTCCTTACTTAATCGCCGGAGAGAAAACGCGTCCTTACCTGCACAGCAGCTACACCCACTGACAAAGTCGGTTATGGCACAGGATCGGCCGTTCCGAGAGAAATCCCTTCCCTTCTCCCGAAACGCAGACTTTCTTTCCTTCCTTCCTTCCCTCCTGTTTTTTTCCGCCCCGTTTCCCCCACCGGGAAAGGCAACTCCCGCGTAGCTCTCTAGTCCCGGGAAGTGAAAATCCTCGGTCCAAAGGAGGTAGCAGCGCCAACCATCCCAACGAGCCGCGAGAAAAGGAGGAGGAGGAGGAGGAGGGAGGAAGGGCAGCCACTACTAGATCATCCTGTAAACAGTTATCCCTTCGCCTCAATTAACATGCACAGCAGACTTCCCAGCTGGGCTGACTTTCTGCATGGCAGTGAGTTAACCGTTTGCGGGCTTCGGGGTGGGGGGTGGGTGGGTGCAGGAAATAAAAGAGGCGCTCAGCAGGATCTAGAAGCCGAGCGCGGGGCTGGCGGGGTGGGTGTCTTCTTCCCTGCCTTTTCTTTTTAAATGATCCAAGCGGCGGCGATGCCCCTTTCCTCTTTCCCTCTGGTCTTTCTCGTTAGCTCGGTTTGTTCTTAGTCAAGAGGTGGCCGGAGGCTGGGGGATAGGCGCAAATAAGAGAGACTTCTAGCCTTTGGACTCAGCCTTGAAGCCCTTCTCCATCGCAGGGTTTTAATCTGTAATAATTTCATACAAGATGCAGCTCCACCTTAGGGAAACTCAACCCCTCCTCCTGTTCCTCCTGCCAATTGCTCCTCCTCCTCCTCTTTCTTACCCCTGCCCTCTTTCCCAACCAAAACATAACCCAACCACCTGAAGCTCCTGAAAGTAAAATCTAAAGTCTGTTTCACAAAGCAAAGGGATATTCATTTCTGGATGAAAGGAAAGGAAAGGAAAATGCTTCTCAGTATTTGTGGAATCTGGTTGCTGCTTCATGTTGAATCTTGCTTTCCTGAATTGGTCGCCCATAATCCAAGCACCCCCAGAGATGCTTATCCAGACATTAATTAACCTAGCTGAAAGGACAGATTTGTCCCAAAGTGTTATGGAGGTGGAGGGGATGTGATTCCCCATTTCCTCCTTCAGATTGTTTTAATAAGAACAGAGGGCGTGCATGTTGTGGCATCGAAATTTTGGATGGAAATAATGCTGGGTTTTGGTGAAGGGCTAGACCATCTTGGGTCAGTGTTGGGTCATCATTCCCGAATCCAAAGAAAGAAATAAGAAGGGCCAAAAGACACGAAGTGGAGGGTAGGAGTCACTTCTCCACTGAATTTCCATGTGGAAATCTGACAGGGAGCATTGGAAACCTTCCCTTCCCCTCCCTTCCCTCCCCTTCTTGTTTCTTGCCAGTAGGCAGGTAAGTAGCACCAAATGAACAGCGCAAGTGGAGATCATATGACCCTGTCAGCAGCAATGCAGCAGCAGCAGCCACTGAATCAGCCATGATATCAAATTTCATTCCCTCAAGACTTACAGATCTTGGATTTTAGATGCATTCTTTCAGTCAAGCCATTCAAGGTACCTGGGTTCCAAAAAAAAAAAAGAAAAAAAATTACCTTTTGATACACAGTTTCACCTACTTGGAAGTCACGGCATTCAGAGTTTTTAGTAGTAAATAGATACGTGCACTTTTTACTTTTGAAAACTCCAGTCCCGCGTACTGGAGAGATCATCAACTTGATTTCTAACTGACTGCTTTTCAAATGTTTGCAAAATATGTTTGTTCTAAAGTCCGTGTCAGAAGCGGGAATATCAAGGAACTCTCCCTCTCCCTCCTTTTTAAGAAAAACCTAAAGAAGAACTGCTTCTCTAATATTCCTTTCATCTCTGATATGCGTGCTTAGGATAGGTTTTTAAGTAATATCAAGGATGTGCTTTTCTTATAGAAAAAAAATACAACCTTTAATCGTTTTCCAAGTCACACATGCATCCTCAGCGCTCCACCCTTTATAACTCTGGATGGACACTAGACTTATATATTAAGTTACTGTATTCTGTTCTCACAGGTCTAGAGTGCATATTACAAATGGTCAGCCCACACACTCACACATGCTCACACATCCTGAATAAAGTGGGTTCCAATTAGGCTAAAATTTATACAGCGCAAATAGATTGGCCAAGAATTTCCCTGCACTGATGGCAACAATACTAATTGAGATTCTCTCTGTCTTAGGAGAATGCTCAAGCAAACCAACTGAATCCCGTTGTGTTGTGAATTGACAAACTACTTGTCTTAGAAGAAAAATTAGACTCAGGAAATTCAAAGCAACAGGTAACCGGGAGGTCGAAAAGCAGATTGAGACATAATTGAGAGCAGTACACAGATACTTGGAAATTCTCTTTGTTATAGCAGCAAATCCCCTTAAGGTTTATTTATTATTATTATTCTTTAGCTTTATTTAGGAGCCAAGGAGCATACATGTTGAACAAGGTATGTTCCTTGGGTGATTCTTGCTTTTATTAAGACTGCATGGAGGACTATGTCTTGGTTTGCTTCTTTGTTGATGTCTCTGGTCATTACTTACTGTACTATCATTTAACTAGAACAGGATTTTCTATTTGTTGTTGTGGTCTGCTGGCAGCCTGCAGAGATGGCAGCAGAATTGGACAGTGGGGAAGAACATGGGCCAGTTTGGGAGTCTGGGGAGGACGGACAATGGTCCTGCATCTGATGCAGAGATGGGGCCAGGTCCATCTGGGAGTTATATGCTGACTCTGGAGCCTCCACAATCTGACAGCAGCGAGGCAGAGGAACAAGGGGAGCTTGTTCCCAGTGCACGCATGCGCAGAGCTGCCAGAAGGCAAGAACAGTTAAGACAAAAAGGGTGACTCAGGAGTAAGGCTTGGAGATGATTGCCCTTCCCATAAGATATAAAGGAAGTGCAAAGGGACAGGAACCTTTGCAGGAAGCAACATATTTTGCTCTGTTCGAATTAAACCTTGAAGCTCTGTATGGACTTTGTACTTCACTTGGCTTTTTACAGTTAATTTGGCACTTTAGTTGTTGCCAGCAATTCAAATGAGATAAAGGTGGGTGCTTATCTCAAGAGACTGTTTGGGACTCATTATGGGCTGGGAATAAACATAATTTGCAGCATTGAAATAAAAAGAGTTGTTTGGACTAAGTGTATGCTTAATTACGGTCTCAGGAAGCCTTGGTCAGAACATTTGTAGACAAAAGGAGTAATACTGATAAAGAAGGAAGCATTCTGTAATGGGGTGTCAAACGCAATTTCAGTGAGGGTTGCATCAGGGTTGTGTTTCACCTCGGGGTGTGTGTGGCCATGGGTGTGTGTGGCTAGCTCGACATCACTCGTGCCGGTCCTGTGGTGGCCTGAGCACTTTGCCAGCAAAAATGGAGCTCTCCTGTGCTCCGTTTTCTCTGGCAGAGAGCTGCAGGAGGCCATCGCAGCCAAAAATAGAGGTCGGGAGGGCTGTGCACAGTCCTCCTGAGCTCCATTTTCATTGGCAGAGTCACCACAGGCCAGTCCTTTGCTCTTTCCAGGACAGCCCTGCAGGCCAGGTCTAAGCACCCTGTGGACCAGATCTGGCCTGCTGGCCTTGGGTTTGACACTCCCTGTTCTATAACATTCTTATGTCATGGGAACTTGCACTGGATAGTTGTCCAAAGCTACAGGATCATTATTAGTGGTGAGGTTTCATTCATGCATTAACATCAAAGCAGTATCAAAGTAGCTTTGTCATTCAGCTTTATGCAAAGTTCTTTATAAATAGGCGCCACGGTAAGAATCGTTCCAGATATTCAAAATGCAGGCATATTGACAGATTCATGCATCAGAGTTATTAATCATTATAGTAATCTCAATCTCAAGCATTACTCCCTTTGATTAAAAACTGGGAATGTGTTCTGCTATGGATTTAGATCTTTGGCTGACCTTTGCAAAGAAAAGAAAATCCCTCCCCAACAAAATCACCCTGGTTCCCCACCCCCAAGACAGAAAAATTATTGATGTGTAATTGTTTATCTAGGAGGGATACAAATTATTCAGCAGCTACAGTTAATGCATTTTCTTTTCCTTTCCAAAGGTAATATCAGAAATTATTGTCACTCTAACTTCAAGATATGAATTTGGTACCCTAAACATTTATGACTTTTCTGATGTCTTGTATGCCAAAAGAGAAATTGATACATTCAACCCTGCTCTAAACTGTGCATTTGATGACTTTTGCTGATGAATGCATGTCATAGATGTTTAAATCAATCTCTTAATATGATTTCTCCTTCTGTTTAGCTATCCTTGCTTCACAGAAACAGTATGCAAGTATACAAGCTGAAACCAAAGCTTTAAATTTTAGTGAGAAGGAAAGAAGGGAGGGAGGGAGGGAAGAAAGAGAGAAGGAGGGAAGGACAGAGGGAGGGAGGGAAGAAGGAGGGAGAGGGGAGGGAGGGAGGGAGGGAGGGAGGGAGGGAGGAAGGAAGGAAGGAAGGAAGGAAGGAAGGAAGGAAGGAAGGAAGGAAGGAAGGAAGGAAGGAAGGAAGGAAGGAAGGGGCTATTATGACATTTAGGCTGCAGAAATTCATAGTACTGATAGATGGCCCCTAAGAGATATCTAAAGCTCAGGATCTTTTCCACCAACTAGTGGTTATCTGAGATTTTGCAACCCAGATACATTAGCATTATCTTGCCTAGACTGTTTTTCCAGGGAATGATCCTGATTATTGATTTATGATTTTTGTCTGTCTGTCTATCTATCTATCTATCTATCTATCTATCTATCTATCTATCTATCTATCTATCTATCTATCT